AAGAGTTCGTAACTCGAATCTAAGTTCGTAAGTCGAGTCCATATATTCCTATGAGAGCGGTTCGTAAGTCGAAACGTTCGTATGTCGAGCCGTTCGTAAGTCGAGACCCCACTGTATTTTGGGGCGGATTCTGGGAATTATAGTCCAAAAACAAATGAACAAAATGCTAAAGTTCTCAAAACCACATAGTCATCAAATGTAACAATGAAATGTGTTAGATTGGAGGAGCCAGGCAGAGTAGGTGTAAATGTAACATCTCTCCCCCCCCCCCGAGAAAATCAGTGTTCTTGGCAGACAGACAAAACACGCCCATGGCATATCACAAGTCTCTTTTTGCAAGCACATCTGTATTGCCTTTTAGTACTTGTGGGAACCGTGCCTTGTGAAAACAGGTTGATCTAAATATCCTTTAGTCCCCTTCAACCATATTTGTTCTTCAGGCAAGAAATACCCAAGCAAAACATAACATTAAATCCTTGCTCTTGATACTATATGCACGGAGACTCACATCCATTTACCTGCACTCCAGTGTGCTTGGGGAGTTCTCAGGCTTAAAAAGGCTGGAGTCTGCCAGAAAAGATGAATTTCCTTTCACCACAGGAAGGCTCAGGGAAGTAAAACAAATCAGATATGTAGTAAATTATCTCTGCTTTTCAAATATTGCTTGTGGTATCCTCCTTACCATTACTTTATCTCAGCACTTTCATCACATAATTCTTGCTTAAGGGGAAAGAAAGCAAGACCAGATAATGAGGATAGTTGGTAAGAAAATCAAGAGGCGTCAGACTTGAGTTTTCACTTGGGTGCAATTCTATATTGGATCTATTTTTAAACCAGTATGAACTGTTTTTACCATCATAAATACACCTAAAAGCTCTTGGCATCAGGATTTTGCTTTATTTTAATCTGCCACAATCAAACACACACGATGAAGCAGAATGATATAAAATGCTTCCATTTCCTTCCTTTCTATTTTTGAAAACTGAGCTTTTAAATCCAGTACAGGTGCTATGCTTTTGTCCAACGTATGTGGCCCTTTTAAAAACTAATATACACTTCTCCATTGAATTGCACCGGTCTGAGAAACATGGTTTTTGTTATACTTGGGAGGAGAAATCGCACCTGCATTTCGCCCCTCCGATAGGAGCATTGGATTTGTTTTACTTGGTGCCTCTTTGGAGGCAGCTAAAAGACAGAATATTATTTTTATCCCCTTATGTAATCCATGTAATACCCTTATGCTCTCCAAAATGTAAGATGATAAGATAAGATATTAATATTCCATTTTGGGGACATAAGAATTCCACTTGGATTTTGAACTACATGGGGTCCGGCACCTAATCTCAGTGTTGTTGAAGGGAGAAGTGTATACTGTCAGATGTTGGCTTCTCTTGGAGATTATTAACAATTAAATATATAGGTAGATGTGGGTCAGTGTGGTGTAGTGGATAGAGTGTCAGACCAGGATTCGGGAAGCTTGGGTTCAAATCCCTGCTTGACTATGGAAACTCACTAGAAACCAGCACTGGTGAAACATGCCTTGAACAGCTCACATGCCTCAAAGTCCCTATTGAGGATGAGAGTTTAGCTTTGAAACTAATGTAAAGAAAGTGGCTCGAAATTCTCCTGTGTTCTATTCAGAAGGTAGTATAAAAGACTGATCAAAATCCTCTTGCATAGTTACACAAATGGTGTAACCTTTGGAAACAAATTGTCCCAAGGAAACTGTAGACATTGACAGCTGCAGCGCCCAGCTCAGCATGCTGATAATGTAAGCAATGGTTTCTTAACTTTGGGCAGCTTGCCTCTATATTTTATACCTAACTAAGTAAAAGGATTTGGGCCATTACATTGGAAGTGGTTTAAAAAGGGGCTTGGTCCCCAGAACAAGACTAAGCAACCTTAAGCACTTACTGAAAAATCTCACCGGTATAAGGGACTTTGAGGCATGTGAGCTCTTCAAAGAGGTTTTTTTTACCACTGCCACTCTCCAGTGAGTTTCCATAGCCAAGCAAGGA